ATATATATATATATATATATATATATAATAATAACCGTGCCGGGAGATTTAAGGACAGAAAACATTTTTCCCTTTCCTAAACAAAATTTTATAGAAGTTATAATAAAATTATGTATAATGTTTTATACAAAGTTTTCAGACTTCTTTTCCATAATGGCACCAGGAAACAGCAGTGTCACCGTCCTGATAACAGTTTTATTTATTTTTAAATGAATTTTTTGGTGAAGCCCGATTCAACAGTGACGAATTTATTTGGCTGAGTCATAATTTTTAATCTCAAGTCCAGTCAAACACGTGAAAATAATGTTAGCGCTATTGAAAACTGAAAACGAAAATTATATATTAAGCTTAATATACTTAAATATAATTATAAATAACACGATATGGTCAGGCGATTATTTCGATTCGTCTATACATGTATTACAATAATTAAGTCGTAAAAAAACAATATCTATATAACACGAACAATATCATTCCATGCGTCATAAACAAAACAATTTCGTCTGATATACAATATACAACGTCTATATAGTAGGTACATATCACCAATTTGTTAAAATTACGACTATTATGATTATTTATTTTTATTTTTTTTATTTACGTATTTTAATCTGATTATCCTACACGAGTGCCAATTTATCGTGTTCTCATAGAGCTCTTCCCTTAAATCATATAAATAAATACATTTTTTTTTTTTTCAAAAATAACAACGACCCCTCTCATACCATTTGAATTATAATACTATTTTCACCATTATCGTTTTTATGGTGACCGGATCGTCGTGACCGTGTTAAACGGGTAATGAAAATAATATTATATATACCTAAGTAACTTTTTTTCGTTTCAGAGATCTTAGAAGAACCGGATCGTGACACCGATCTGAAGTCTTTAAAACAAGCCAGACGTCTTTATAGGACGTGTTTGGATACAGGTAAGGGAAACACATATAATATTTTATTGTCAAACACCACGCTGGTCGTAGGAATCACATCCCTCTTCGGGTCGATGAAATGTAAAATGTGCGATGCGTATAATATGACGATCCAAAATTTGGTGGAGTAAGGGGGTGGGGGGAGTAGGAGGAGTAACAGTATTTTCTCGACACACGATGTCTATGATAAAAAAAATAATATACATATTTAAAACTGCACACAAGAGCGTATACATTAAATTTTTATCGTTTATGAAAAGGCACCGCCGCCGCGTCGATTCGGCATCGTGTTCTTTTGGTCTTCGGGTTTATAATATTTACGACCGTTTAATTTAACGACCTTCTCGGTAACACGAATTCCATACGCGCCTGCAGAGGTACTCGATCCACCCCGTTGCAAAGTCCGCCAAAAATAACTGAAAAGATAAAATAAACGAATGTGCGGAGGGCGAATTAAATCATATAATAATAATACGTCGTAAAAACCTGCGAGACGAGAAGTATATATTTCAAAGTCGCATAATATAATAACATACATTTCAATACGAATCGAGTGGGCGCCAACGCGAGAGCGTGAGTGAGCGGTGGTACATCAATGAATGGCGGGTAGAGGGGGGAGGGACGTTATAATAATATCTGCAGACGTATCGTTTATTATAATCTGTAAAATATTGTAACAATTCACTATCGTCATCAGTGCAGCGGTAGAAGTATTAGACATTTTATTGTTAGCGTTTTCCCTATCGCTGTGGAGTAAAAAACTGGAAAATATTTCACATTATTATATCACAATAAATTGTATAAGCGTGTCATTGTATTATGATAACGGTAAATAATTAGCATATTATAACTAATAAATAAATAATGGTAAATTGAAACTATTATAGTGACGAATAATATTAAAATAAACAATAATTAAAAAATATAATAATGCCCTAACACAATATCGTCCCGATAACACTATAATATATCATATATAAATATAATAAATGTACTTAAAGAACATAAATTGTGTTTACGGTGTTACTGAAAATTCCTAATTTTTAATATCTGGAATAAACATAATATAATGTAAATATGTTTAAATATTTTTATTTTATTATTATTATTATTATTATTATAAAGTGTTCCTGACATACATGATCATCAAACTTATTGATAAGATAATAACAATAAATATGTATAAATAAACTAATACATAACTACTATTACTATATTATTCATATACATAGTGCGTACCTTGAGGATATAGTGGAGAGCGGAGTTAGTAGTTACACTTTTGACATATCGAATTTTTATAATTTTTCTGTTACTATGACCATAATTTATGTAACACCATTCTATTACGTAACTTCTTAGGCATATTTTTATGATAGTAAAATGAAAAAAAAAAATAATTTCTAATACTAAAAAAACCCCGGTGAAGTCACTAAGTCGAAATGTAACAACCTACCCCGAGGTGAGGTAAATTATTGTTACAGTCCAGGGGCACATTGTTACAGTCTAAATTTTGAAATATTATTACCAAAAATAAATAAGAAATTAACAGTAAGGGTAATGATAAACATATTTCATAATAATTAATACCTATACCAAGGTATAAAACAAAATTTTAAAAATTCTTCATTATTTAATTTAAAAGCATATTATACCCATTAGCACTACGTCCGTCAAGTTGGCACCGGCACTTTCTCCAAACAACTCAAAATTGGTATCAAAATTTTGCTACGAATTTGCTACATTTTGCTACGCTATTTTTAGAATTTGCTACTATTTGGTTTTTCCGGAAATCCCGGAAAATCGAAAATTTCCCAGCACCGGCACTTTCTCCAAAGGATTTCCGGAAAAACCAAATAGTAGCAAATTCTAAAAATAGCGTAGCAAAATGTAGCAAATTCGTAGCAAAATTTTGTTACCAATTTTGAGTTGTTTGGAGAAAGTGCCGGTGCTGGGAAATTTTCAATTTTCCGGGATTCTGGAAAAACCAAATTGTAGCAAATTCTAAAAATAGCGTAGCAAAATGTAGCAAAATTTTGATACCCGTTTTGAGTTGTTTGGAGAAAGTGCCGGCGCTACGTCAAGAAAGCATCGGCATGTCTGTTTCCGGATTTCCGGAAAAACCAAATAGTAGCAAATTCTAAAAATAGCGTAGCAAAATGTAGCAAATTCGTAGCAAAATTTTGATACCAATTTTGAGTTGTTTGGAGAAAGTGCCGGTGCTACGTCAAGATAGCACAGGCATGTTTGTTTCCGGATTTCCGGAAAAACCAAATAGTAGCAAATTCTAAAAATAGCGTAGCAAAATGTAGCAAATTCGTAGCAAAATTTTGATACCAATTTTGAGTTGTTTGGAGAAAGTGCCGGTGCCAACTTGACGGACGTATTAGCACTAGATGGACTCGCAGCCTGGATAAAAACTAGTTTTCGCCGTTTTATCTATAGGCTAAAAAGATTATTAAAAAACATGAAATTAATGAAAATAAAATGTTGAAAGGTCAACATTTTCAGCAAAACAAACTTTATGAAATAAGTAGCTATCTTTATTTTTCTTTTCAATAAATTAAAAACAATATCTCGCAATGGGAAAATCTTCGCGGAACACCCTGTATTATATATATATATATATTTAAAAAAAAAATAGTTGAAATTATTTTTGACTACTAAAAAGTACCGATATATACACTTTCTATTTTATCTGATAAAATACAATTATGTGTGTGTGTGTGTGGTTGTTACCCGCAGACACATTAAACAATCTGCAGTACGAACCGGTCTTCCAGGTCCTGGAAAAGATGGGACTTCCGCGGAAATTTCCGGACTTAACGACTACCAGCTACTTCAACGGTAGCGTTTTCAACGTGGCGAAGAGCTTGGCGCTGATCGAGCGGTACCTCGGGATCGATGCCATGTTGCAGATGAGTTTGGAACTGGATCCGAGTAACAACCGAACAATCCTCTCTGTAAATATAAGTTAATGTAATAGTGTATGGAAAAATTATGTCTATTTTTAAACAATCCCAACGTACCCAATGTACCCATAAAATAATAATCAGCGTCGTGGCGAACTCAAATATTATCCGAGGCGAGTAAATATTTCATCGATACCATCCAACTACCAACACACCCAAAGTTATCCCATAAAAAAACATTCAAGGTAAGCGGGGGGGTAATTACCTCGCGGGTAACCATACCTACAGATAATTACGTATAAGATTGATTAACATAACACGAAATGAGACAATATTTTTTTTAAATATCACTTTGCTCTGCGTACTCGTATTTTAATTCGGTTAAGTTGTACGACATTCTTATGAAACCAAATTATATTACGTGTCGAAGTTTACGTCGTGGAATTAAACGGTAGTGATACGCGTCAGACCAAAATTTTGTTTTTTTAATAGCCAATTATAGTCGTGTTGTTATAATATAGAAAAAAATACTCGTCGAGTCGGTAATATTTATTTCATTTATTTTTACTCTCAAAATGTTTATGAAACATATTTTTATAACCAAGGAACAGACAAGAGTTAGTCGAAGAAAAACGTGGTCAATCAAAATTTAATATCTGTACGTATGGGCCAAGTGTAAACTGAACTGTTACAAAAATCGTCTGGGCTCAGGTTTTAGACTATAAAAAATGTATTTATCCGTTCAAACAAAAATTTAAATAATGAATAAAATTCGAAACCAACGGGTACACAAGACCCTAAAAAATATGTCTTCATTCGTTATCTATTTATGATATTGGTGAACATTAGAATAATATGTTCTATTGCCGCGAGTCGCATAAAAAATTGATTCATTTAATGGACCAATGTTATGGACGATTAAATCGTATTTTACAAACCACTATTGATATATCAAAAGTTTAATAATAGTTTATGCGGGACGACGTAAAATATCATATATTTGTTTTTTTTGTTATTCCCTGGCAATGCCATCTTACTATTATGGATTACAGTATAAGTTTATAGTATCAGTTTAACAATATTGATGATATATGAAATTATTTACAAATCATTTACTAAAAAATAATAGGTACGCTTATATAGATCGTTAAAAACCACTTAAAAAGATTTTGTGAGAACGTTTATCGTTTGAAATGTTTCACAAGGGTAAACGTCAGATTAAACAAACATACAACTACAACAGTTGTGCAGCGTAATGGTTACCTTTCTGCACTTTTTATTTTTTGGATTTGATAAATTTCAAATTTTTTAAATTTTTTTTGTATATTTTAGTTATTTTAACTTCCGAGCTCTATTCGTATAACTTTACGACGCGTTAAAGTTCTTATTACCCTAGAGAAAAAGGCATTGACAAGAACGCCAAAACTGCAAAAAAAAAAATCGTAAAAGGCACCACAGTATACTTATCGATAAATCCGGTCGAATGATCGTGGTCAAAGTGGCTTATTATTTGGTTTCGTGATTGTTGCCGATTTTTGATTCGATGTCTTATCGTCGGATTTTATGTTATTTTTTTTTTTTTTATCCGCAGATTGGGCCTATCACGAACTTTTTAATGCCACTGCCTGAACCGCTGTTCGACTACCACCGTAACCGAGTTGGTGGCCATCGAGCTCGTCGCGGCTTCGCCTTCATCGAAGATTTGGCCACCAACCGACTGGTGAAGGCCAAAATGAAGTACATGATGGAGGTAATCATGACTATGTTCCCCTACAAAATTTTCAGCTCGAATATTCTGGCCACAAATTGCTTCAAAATCATCCTTATGGAAGTGGCATTAAAGGTACGATTATTATTATTTTTGATAACACGTTCGACAAGCACAGCCTATTTGCAGCGTATATACATGACGACCAATTGAAAACACACTTCAAATTAATACATTTTCTCGATCAGTATTTTTAAGTTTTATGTACTTGTAATTTATACACTAGAGTTAAACGAATGTGTGGTTCACAGACCAATAAACTTTAATTTAATGGACAGCGCATTCAACTCTGCCCGGCCCTCATTGCTAGGGAATCATTATAACCGAGAAAGAACATAATCATGGAGGAAATACTTAACTTTTTTTCCACTTTCTTTATCGACCACATAATAATAACCAATAAAATATAACAGTTGCCAGATTTTATTGTGACACAATTTTTATTTGGCAGCAGCCACACTGTAAAATACTACTTTGTTTCTTTTCTCGCTCACTCTACATTCGTACCCCTTGACTTATCTCTGCCTCTCTCGTTGTCCATTAGTTTATAGGTCTATGATGTGGTTGGTGACTCCGACGTTTTAAAACCTGACATTTTATGTAATCGTCACGCATTTAGCACATTAATATCAAATGCGTATTTAATTAAATTTTCCTCACTCGGTGTTAAAACTTTACAGCCTCGCAGATATGATGGGCGTGATACGCGTTAAAATTACGACAAGTCACTTATTTTTAAGTATCTCGCAAACGGTTGTTATTGATATCTCGTATTAGGCGGAGTCACCAACCGGTCATATACGGTTGATTCAAATTATGGTTAATAACACTATAAGTGTGGCCTCAATCTTTTGGTCACCATAAGTCCTGACATTTAAGTTTCGTACGAAAAATAAAGCGTACAACGTTTAAACGTCATTGACTTTTTAAGTACGTTTATCGACTCGGTAACTAGTAACTACGATTACGACACAGATGCGGTCGGCACAGTAAAGTTGCGGTCAATACCTTTTTGGTGGCACTTGCGGTCACTATAGCTATTTTTTTTTTTACATTATATGAAGTGGTTTTACAATACTGATATAACAATAATAAAGTAGTTAAACTTATACTATATTAATTTTCCTTCGAACTTTTACAGGCTTATCATTATTTAATATTTACTGGCGTGCTTAAAAGTTGTTTTTATTTTGAATATTTATTGTAAACTATTATGATATACAATGTAAATATAAAATATATAATTATTAATTTGTAGACGCTATTATTTTGTTGAGACATGTCGGTTAATTTTTATTGCCTATTAATCAATTTTTTGTATGAAAGAAGGAATTGTTAGACATTTTTTTAAGTCTCTGTCCTCTTCATATGATTTTAATGTTTTTTTCATTTTCAATGTCAAGTGTAATGTAACATTTTTCCGTTTTTTTCCTTCCAAGTTAAAAATTGTCGATCAAACAATAAGTCTCCATGCTGAGCTTCTAATTTAAGACATTTGTAAAGAGCTAAAAATGTTGGTCGAGGTTTATTAAATTGTTTAGTTAATCAGCTGTTCTAACCTTCAACGATATTATATGCCCTGTGTCTTTTTTGGAAGCATTTCCATATAATATCTTTGGATATTATTCTATTTTGCATTGACATCGATAACGTTGTACCAATAATTTGTATATAAAAATAATATAAAAGAAGGAAAGTTTGATTTTTTATGTAGTATAGGTTTAACTTTATTATTATTATATCAGTATTGTAAAACCAGTTCATATAATATGTAAAAAAAAAATAGTGACCGCAAGTGCCACCAAAAAGGTATTGACCGCAACTGTGCCGACCGCCAGTGGCGCACAGAGGTATTTTAACTGCGCCCAATTTTTTATTTCTAAAAAAAATTTTCACTTATTATTCACTGTAGTTCAAGGAAATTAATTATTATAGACTTTAGTTTATGTTATAAATGTTTAAACTTCCCTATGAAACCTACAGTAATATACACTATTCCACCTCGAGAACACATGCAGTTGCATTACTTGCTAACCTGCCTGGGCGCCACTGCCGACCGCATCTGTGCCGATACCAGTAACTACATCACAATGTGTAACAGACAAATTGGCTAATAATATAATGACAATATGTATATATTGTAATTATTGTATTAATTAATTTTAAAACAAAAGTCGTTATAGGTATACTTAGTTCATTACATTTGTCAATTATTTCTGTTGCAACCTAAATATTATATTATCTAATACTGAAAATATTTTTACAGAAAAATGTAGACACGGAAAAAAAAGGAAAAGAATATACAATCAATAGCTTAAAGGATTACATGCATTCGAAAACGAATCACCCATTGCATGAGAAATTGGTACTACATAATTTTATAGATTTTGAGCGAAGCGTAGTGTTGCTTTCACCTTGATTTTAGTTTTACATTTTCAAGTCAATACAACGACTTTAATTTTTTAAGGACGTGATTTGGTCCAATACGATATTTTGAGGATATTTTATGACTTTAAAATCGAATAAAAGATTACCTATAAATACTTCATTTTGACCAAACCAAAATGGTAAAATCCAAAAATCAAATACTTTTTTTTTAAATTTATTGCCGTCATTGTAATATAGTCACTATTTTTAACGTCGGGAAGACGACCCTAAGAAGCTGAACTAGTGAACCGAGCTCTCCGATGGATCGTTTTTCAAATACAATATTGCTCAGATTAATAATATTATCGTTATCTATGTAGCTTATACCTATAATAATTTAAATGTTGATAACCTTTCGCATTGGATTTTGCACGGATGTCTTCGAATGACCGAGACGATTGCCCGACATGCATTACCTTTTCGTGATTTTCTTAAACGTGTGACTAAATCTTATTTATTTTTCGTCCATTCGATATAGTTTGATTGGCAATCGTTTATCGATAATTTTGTCTTGGAATCAAATCTCACGTGGAATATGGACGATAAAGTGCTTGTCCATGATCCAGAATATTTTTTGGAACTCCAATCGATGTTATCAAAAACTTCTCTAGAAGAAATTCGTAAGTCTATGCTTATATATATATATATTTTTTTTTTGTTTTTAAATTCATTATTTTAAGTATCTATGCGTTTTGAAATATAAAAAAACAAAAGTAATAAATATTAAGTTATTTTTAAAGAGTAAAATAATTTKCGTACCAAACACGCTGTTCGAATGAATAACGTCGTTGAAATGTCATTAATTCGAGTAAAGGTTCTCATTCGACCGTATCGCTATATAAATATGTAAGACATATATGAATGGGTTAAAAATATTTAACTCATTTATTTAAAGTAAAGAAACAAAATAATTCATGAGCTACGATAAGAAACGATTACTCAATTAGTAATCAATAAAAAGCGTTAAATCCGATAGATACATAGTTCAACCATTGGCGTTCAATCGTTCTTCTTCCGACTACTGATCGTTAGACTGAAATTCATGAAATTTTCATGTGGACATATTGCACATTTTCAATGTAGGTATACAACTGATTTTATAATAGGCGTGTGTAACAGCTATTAAGAATAAAAAGTATCATTATAAATTTGTAATAAAAATATGTTACTTACAATTAGTAGTAGGCATATTCGGATTTGTCAAATCCGGATAGAGTAAATTCGGAGTTCAGGGATTATCCGGAGTATCCGGATTATTCAACTCTATTTTTCTGTTCAATGACTCATTTTTATATACTAATAATATTTTAATTCTATAAGATAATTTTTGGACATATATTACAGCGAGGGTGTCCCACAGAGATCTGACAAATGAAATAACTTTTGTTCTAATCAATATTTAAAAAATATTTCTTTTAAATATAATTCATAGACACTTGCACTACATATTTAGAATACATTTTTTTTTTTTTATATACTGAAAATAAAAAACTTAAAAATTGATAAAATTTTTTTTCGAAATATTCAATATAGYCAATTTGTAAATCTGATTTTTAGATAAATGTATATGGTAAAAACACTTATTTAAGTCAAATGGCTGATTTTTTACAATTTTTTTAAATATCAATATTTTCGTTAAGTAAATTACAACTAGTTTATGTTATAAACCTTGTAATTTCAAATAATAATAAAGTTTTTAAAAAATATTTTATAAGTACATTTTTAAATAAGTGCATGTTAAAATCTAATTATTTTATTTATTGTATTTTTTAAAATAATATGTGATGTATAAACTATAAATTACTATAATTTACATAACGAAAATATTGATATTTAAAAAAATTGTAAAAAATCAGCCTTTTGACTTAAATAAGTGTTTTTACCATATACATTTTTCTGAAAATCAAATTTACAAATTGGCCATATTGAATATTTCGAAAAAAAATTATCAATTTTTAAGATTTTTATTTTCAGTATTAAAAAATAAAAAACTTAAAAATGTATTCTAAAAATGTAGCACAAGTGTCTATGGATTATATTTAAGAGATTTTTAAAATTGATTAGAACAAAAGTTATTTCATTTGTCAGAATGTCAGATATCTTTGGGACACCCTGTATATATATGTATATACAAAATTTCGAACGCATTTTAAGTACCAGTGATGTTTGCGCTTAGCTGTAATAAAAATAATTACTTAAGTATGTACTTTGAATGATATAACTGATAACCAGGGTTTAGATTTGATGGCAATATAATCAATAAAAAAAGCATTTAAAATGTAAAAAAAGGCATTTAATTTATATAAAAAGGCAATTCATAAATATACTACAAAATAAAAAAGTAAACATTTTTTAAACACTTTCAATTGCACACATCTTGAGAAAAATACAAATTAAAAATTAAAACTGCATGCAAAATAAACTAGTTGGTATTAAAAAAAATTGACTACCATGTATTTTGATAGGATGTCTTCAGTAAAACGGCTACGGTTAGGGGTTAAAATATTTTTATAAATATTGCGAATAATAAAACCCATTTGTAGCGATAATACGCAAGCTGTGTATAAAATTATAAAATCAACTGAAAAAATTAAACACCAAATAGGCATTTATAAGTACAAAAGGTAAAAAAAGGCAAAAAGGCATTTATAAGTAAAAAGGGGAAAAAATGCATCCATCGTCTAAGAAATTAAATGAAACACATTTTATTAGTGATAACAAATAATAAATAATCATTGAAATTGATAAATATACTGTAAATAATACAACTTAGGTATCAATTTCTTGTTAAATTTTCATTATAATTTATAATAAACACTTTATCAGTGATAACAAATAATAAATTATCATTGAAATTGATAAATATTCTGTAAATAATACAACTTAAGTATTAATTTTTGTTAAATTTTCATTATAATTTATAATACTCGTAAAATAATTTATTTTACCATGCATTAAAAATATTTGTAAGTCTTAAGTCACATAAAAAGCAAATACATAAATCCGGATAATCCGGAGAAGAATATGATTTAAATCCGGATTTGGATATCAAGATTCAAGATATTCGGATAATTCAGATATTCGGATTTCATGCCCATCACTACTATTACGATATTATAAAGTAATTTTGTTTCCTAACTACATCAACAACGAGAATAGAAATGAAACGATTTGTATAAAATCGTTAAGTATGTGCCTGTGAGCCACGCGATATGAACGAAATTTTATTGCCATCCGATCAGTGGTTTTTATAATCCACGAAGATTTTCATGTTGAACGACAATGTTTTCGTAAATTTGTTGGTTTTTTCGAATTTTTATTTTAGAAAAGATATTGGGATCAATATTGAGAGTCTTAGATAACAACACGGCCTAAGTGGTTTCATCCCATGCAAAACAGTGTTTGCTAAGTTGCAAATTTTTTAAGACAAAGACAACAGGGGGTTTCCCAGATTTCAATCTATTATTAGACGTGTTTTGCGTTATCTCAAATTGTCGGATGATGAATATTTTGGAATTTTATTACAACTTACGACTGTGAATTTTACAGAGTACCTATATAATATTATACATCCCGGTTTCAGGAAAATTAAACGCCTCTAATATTTGAAATATTTAAAAATGAAATCGAGGGAGCCAGTTCGGGTTCACTGAGTTTTTTTTTTTTTGGAGATCTGTCCCTCTAAGGCTTCCCCTTGGTGAAGTGCTTGCGCAGCCATTGGCCACAGTAATCTTAGTTACAATTATTGAGGAATCATTTTGCAATACTATATGCATAAAGAAGTAAAGTAAAAAAAAAAACAACGGCCACGATATAATAAAATACAACGAAGAATAAACGATACGGTTCTAAATCGTCGTGTTCCGTTCAACAAGTGTCCTTTAGGCATTTTAAACACGAAAGCTCATAACATCATTATACGAATAAACAAAAACTGTTTGATGTCACACAAACTCAAGCTCACAATAATGACGTTGATATTATCTGTTATAGTGATGAATGTATTAATAATCTGTAGCGAACTATTTCAGAGCAATTTATTTGGTGGAAAGTCGTGGAGGGTTTAATCTCGCACACTACTACGGACATGATAAACTATAAAGTGGCATTGAACGAATTCGCAATACCTTCGTATACAAAAATGACCAGGTATTTATAATGCTCATGTTATTTTCGAAATATCTGAATCGCCGGTAAACACTTTTTCACCCACGTGGTGGTTCATACCTTAGACCAGAATTTTGTACGGCGGTGTCCAGAGCTTTCGCGAAGGGCCCCATAGCCTACGAGTTCTACGTTCGAGACGACCTGAAAGTCACTACGGCGAAGGTGACTATATATTTTTATAATTATTACACATAGGTATAGACCGCCAGAATCACAACCAGTGTTGAATCCAGGTATACTTCATTTGGTGGTGTTCGCCCTTCCCCCCCTGAAAAATACAACTTTCTGATTTTCAACAAAATGTATTTATTTATTAAATACTAATTTAAATATAAATAATTAATAGGTTTCTAATTTATTTTGTAATTTTTTCAATAATTATAATTTATGAATTGTAATAAATTATAATAATACAATTTATAATATGTAACGACCTTAGATTAACCTTAGATTGATTTAAAAATTTTAAAACTAATAATTTGTTTTATAACTTTTTAAATATTTATAATTTCTGAATTGCAATAAATAATAATAATAATAATAGGTAATACGATTTATAATGTGTGACAACCTTAGATTGATTTAAAAATTTTAAAAAATAATTTGTTTTGTAGTTTTATATAAATTTGAAATGTCTAAATTATAAATTGTAATAAGAATAACTACCTATTAATAGATATAATTCATAATACTAAAATGATGTTTCACTATTCACCAATGAAAAAAAAGTGAGCCCCTCCCAGAAAAATTGTCTGGATTCAACACTGATCACAACGGGTCATAACCAGAGCTCTAAAATTCACGAGTTTTTTGTTCACATGTACTTTTTATAATTTTTTTTTTTTTTTTTATAAGCTATATTTACAATCTCTACGTAAAGCACAATAAGAAAGTTAATAATAGTAATAAAAAGATGAATCGGTTGGCTTGATATGTGGGGAAAATCGTCCATCAACAGTAATTTAATTTGGTGGGTTCATATGAAGAGACTATATTTATTTTTATTTTATTTATTTTTAATTTCGTGTTGGGTAAGGGCGTTTCTTGGACATATTTTTTTTTAAATACTTTTGGAGGGTTTCCGGGGATGGTTATAGTGGACATACGAGAAATAGAGGGTTTTGGTTTGAACGGAGTTTTGAGTGGAATATTGTTGTAATGTCGAATTGCTATTACGATTACGTGTACCTACCTTAAGACGTGCGATAATCAATAACGGTCAACGGATATATTTTATTTCACGCATGTGCAGCTAAAAAGATATTATTTACTAACTCATTAAGTTTTAATAAAGTGTTTTAAAAATATGTGTACCTATGTTAATATAGTTTCTACAAAAACTTAAAATGTTTATATATCTGCTATTGCTATTCTAAACATAAATGTTTCATAAACAGTTTTATCGTTTAGATGGCGGAACGGGTGATGGTTTTGCAACAAAATTTATGAAATTGTATTTTCATCATTATTCGAATTGAATATTTATTTTTTTAGATTGTTTTTAAACGTATGTAAAGTGTAAATAAATTAACTGCATTCTAAAATATTAGCTTTCCGTGGACATTCTGTTTACAATAAATAATTGATTATCGATCACATMGCTATGTAGAAACTAGGAAACTATTTGGAAAATACTTGCAAATAATCATTGAAAATAAAATTTCAAAATATTTAATAATTAACACGTGATTTAATGACAAAATTCACAATCAAGTGAAATTATGTTCACAAATTCGCGTGATTGCACATGTGAATTTTAATTTCAAGGTCAAGACGATGATCAAGCAACTACAAAATGCATTCGGTGACCTGATCAAAAAATCCAATTGGACGGATGAGGCGACAAAACAAATGACTACCCTTAAGGCGAACGCCATGAAAATCGGAGTCGGTTACCCGAAAATATTTGAAAAGCCGGACGAACTGGACAAAATCTACGAACACGTAAGGACACTGTAAATAATATATTATTATAATATTGTAATATAATTTCCAAATCAGTTTGGCTAGAGATTTGATGCCTTATAAGACACCTAAGAAAATAATATTTGCGCAAATATGTCCTCTAAAAATGACCTTGAAAGCATTATGCTCGAAAAATAGAACAGAAATCTAAGAATAGATGATAACCGAACAGTGATTGTCGCTATGCCAATGAACTTCAGCCCGTATTACTCTTCTATTTTTCTACATATATATATGCAGGGTGATTTTTTATCGAAGAACACTMATTATTTAAAAAAGTATTGACTTTTTTCAAAATATTTTTTTACATAGTTTCAAGTTGTTAAAAAACAAGTGAGTGTTCTTCGATAAAAAAAATCACCTGTATGTATGTATAAACATTTGTTGAAAAAAAGTTTTATGGATACATTTTTCGGAAAACCCAATCAAATATAATGAGTTTCAATTAACAAATAGTATATGCACATAAATAATTTAAATAAAAATTCACAGTTCCGGTGTATGATAGTTATTAATTGGTCTGTGTTTCCCAATGCCTATTGGTTGCTAAATATTTTATAATGTGTGGCTGTCGTAAACTAATAATAATGAAAAACAAAATAAAATTATTTATCAAAATTATGTATTACTTCTATAATATTGCAATATATTATTAAAATTAATTAATAAAATCGCCTTTCACTGCTGATCATAAAAATCTAATGCAACTGCTCTTTGCTGACTATATTTCATAAATTATTTAACTGGTATTTCCACCATAAAAAGATAGTTTTATACTCACTGAATCTGAAAAAATT